TGTCTAATTTCATCCCTTATGCGGGCGAACCGGCAGATGCCATGGTTTCGCTAACGGAACTGCTCCTAACCAGCTAACCTTTGCTTTCCTCTTTTAGGAAGAACTAGTGACACTCCGTCGTAAGTACGAACGTCTACGGAAGATTGAACAGTCGCACAATGCTGATGAAGTCCTTTTGGCAGAAATTCAGGATTACAAGGTTGTCTATGCTGACAGTCGTTGTATCTTCCTTAACATTAGAAACTTTTCCGTTTATGTTTTCTCCAAATTCCACTATGCAGGTCCATTTTCTGCCCTCCACTGACCATGCGTTTTCTTTGTCTTACAGGAGCAGTTGACTTGTCCGACTTGTAAAACGAATAAGAAAGATGCAATTCTTACTAAATGCTTTCACGTATTCTGCCTGAACTGCCTCAAGACCCGTTACGAAACGCGGAATCGCAAGTGCCCGAAATGCAATGCAACGTTTGGGGCGAACGATTACCATCGCATTTATCTTACATGAAGACACCTCCGTTTCCGTCTTCATGCTCCAAAATCTCAGATATTGCCGAGTGCGGCAAAATATGTAAAAAGGCACCCTAACCAGCCCTACCTGTTTCAAATGAGATGGCTTCGTTTATTCCCTTCGTGTCCGGTTTTGCCCGTTGGGTCTGCTTTTATTTGGGAACCTCCAAGCCTCTTCAGGACCCAACGGTGATTTCCATTGCAGCCATTTTTTGCACATAACTGTTTCCTTGTCAAATAAATCAAATCGGCTGTCTGATTAGGCGGCCAGTGACAAGACGACTTATTTTGAATCTTTGGGATGTGGAGGTTTGTTCTGGTTAAAACAGTTAATCGGTTATGACGATAAGGTTTAGAAATCGCAGATTCCATATAATTGCGCTAACAGGTCTCAATATTGTGTTCTAGATTCGTCGTAGCGGGCTAATGGTAATGAATTAACAAATGACACTGCCGTTCGTAGGTTGTAGATGACAGGATTTCATAGCCGACTTACACGTAGATATCTGTCGGCAATGGTCGTTTGCTTTGTGACACTACAGCGCTCACGAGTCCCGACGGGAAGTGACTGATAATGCCGAGAACGCAGTTTAACGCCAGCTCCACTCACCGTGTACGCGTACTGCTCTATGCATGTTAGGCACTAGGCAAACTTACAGCGGCGTAACTACTGGAACCAGAAACCTTCAATTGGCACTTCGATGTCTGGTTTTGACCCCCAACAACACGAGTAACCCATTGAGGTAAGTAGCAACCCGTAGCCTCTGTGACGTGTGTACCCGATAAACGCGGTGAGAGCAGTTCCTTTACTAAACGAAAGTACATATCTCGTAGTATAATTAGGTGGACTCCGCATTTTCGAAAGTGTGTGACGGACACATCTTCCGGCGACAGTTGACTAGTCGATGTGGGCAGCGCCTCGAGAGACACCAAAGGTGGGATCGTCGACAACTTAACGAAGACCATATCTTGATGACTTAACAGTGGTTGCTTAGCTGGGAACATGCAATTCAACAGACGATCACAACTGCGAGTCGAGACG